ACATGCTAAAGACGAGCTTAGGCTGGAGGTCTTTGACCACCGATGTCTGAGGTCCATCCTGCGAGTTAAGTATAGTGACTTCATCTCGAATGAAACAGTTCGCACCCGCTGCGATCGTATCGCGAGGATATCTCAGACCATGCAAGAAAGGCGCCTGAGGTGGTTTGGGCACGTTCTCCGTCGTCCGCCCCACGAGCTTACCTATGTGCTCTCGACTCCGGCGCCTCAGCCCATCTGGAGGCGTAGAAGAGGAGGGCAACAGAAAACTTGCCTTGGCAGTGTCCGTCAAGACATGGAAGCAGTTTTTGGATCTTGTATCTGCGGTCTCCGTTGCTGGAGAAGAGACTGGGTGAAGCTCTCTAGATCCGCCGTCGCCAATGGAGAGGTTCCGTGCGTGACATCATTGAGGCCGGCTACACCAGGCATATTCACAGCCGTAATAAGTAAGTAAGTACCAAACCCGTTGTGCAGACAGAGTCCTGGACATAGAATCGTGGAAAATTGGCTGGCGCGGTGTGAGCGTCCCCTTAGGCGTCCTACCGTTTCCCCTGGTCTGCGCACAATGGATCAATATTTCAAAGGGGATGGGGCTGGAGTCTTGGACCCCACCGGGTGAGTTTGCCATTAAGATAAAATTAAATGGCAACCACCACAGCCTGAGTCTCCGTTGGGAGTAGAGAACCTAGTTATCCCGGTTTTAAGCGCATCGTGATGGATTCGAGTGCGTCAGATTATTCGTGTTGGGAAATATGCTCAGCTCACTATCCGGGCCGGTCAGTCAACTGATGTTGGGATTGGACATAATGAACTTTAGAGTCGAACAACCCGTCTACGCGTAACACACGTTCTGTCCACCCAAAAGCCATGTCCAGCTTTGGCACACAAAAGCGGGGGGGCGGCTCCGACTCCACTTGCGTGAGAGTATCATTTAGGCAGCATTATGAAAAAACCCTTGCAGCCTGATTCTCACTCGGCCACTCCACATAGGTATACGCTGAGTTGTCCACGAGGTCTGAAGTGGATCGCCAGCTGACGACATTCCAAGCCACGGCTTTTAGCGCACCGTGATAATTTCAGATTGTTTGCACTGAGAAATATAATTTGAATGCGGTCGCTCTCATCCTCTCTCACTCTCTCCTGTGCGCAAGTCCCAAGCCCGAGCAGATCTATTATTTGATGCTCATAAAGGGCGCACTCGTTGATAGAATTGAATATTGCCCTTGATTTCTCGTTTTACTTTTTCTTCATTCACCTGTTTTCATCTTCTCTGTCTTCCAGTCCCAGTTGTCTCCCGGCAGTCGATGTACACTGAAATGCGTCCTTCTACATGAGGTGAGTTGTCCCCCTCCTCCCCTCCGCTCATTCACCTACTCATTCGCCATTTCGGTTGTCAAGTAGTTCGTACGACGCATTATATAAGACACTCGTAGCTCAATACACACCTTGTTCAGACCAAGGGGATATGAGCCCTGGCGTTGGCTTAATCAGCGTCACCTCTGACAAATGGTGGCGTCAGTGCCAGCACCAGTACTACTACGCATCTTGCCCAGATTAAGGGGATATGAGCCCAGTGTTGACTTTAATCAGCGTCATTTCTGACTAACAAAACAGTCAGTAATAGTACCAGCAAATACTATCACTAAGCTACACCCTA